ACACACAACCTTTTCCCCATCGCTCACCTGCTCCGGCGGCAATTAAAACCTTTCTTGTTGTATCTGACAATTTGACCTCGCACGTGTCCAAGCAGCTTCTATGATGAAGGCCGCATTCCTGCCTAGGTTGTAAATGAGCCTGAAAGGATGCCAAAAGACTGGATTGTTTGGCCTGCCTAATTACAGCGTATCTCTAGCGAGCATCTCTTCCATATGAGGCAGTGAGTAGGATATAAGACAAGCCTAAGCGGGACGTGATGAAGCTTTGGGAAGAACCAAGAAGTCATCCCCAAAAGGAATTATTCATCCGAGACATCGCCAAGGAACATTCCCAGGAGAGAGAAAGAGAGGACAGTCTAGTAAGGATGGGAACCGGCGGGTTTCTGGTTGCTGTGGTCATCTGTCTTCTGGTTGTCCAGTTTACAAAGCTTCTTTGGGCACGCCGACGGTTCCCCCCTGGACCTATTCCCCTCCCCTTCATTGGAAGCCTCTGGAGAATTGGCTGGAAGATTCGTCAGGATACCCTTATGAAGGTATTTCTCTCAATAATAACCATAGAAATTGGGCTAAAGATTGGCCCAAAGCCTGTTGTTATTCCCAACTGGAGCAGAGTCGTGGGATTAGCAGGTTGACTCACTAGTCAACAGTTGCTTGTCCAGACTAGCTGGGGCTAACCAACAAGCTTCTAGCCTGAACTGAACTGAACTGAACTGGGGTGGGTGAGGAATCCATGCTGAATGACTAGGACAGTGGCATGTCTTTCACGCCTAGAGAAACACGTTCTTCCTTCTGTAGTGACTCCGGTTGAGGTGACGCCTTCATGGAAGAGCAGGTGGTTGGGGGGCCTGTGTCCGAAGGTGGAACTAGGCAGCGCAGGAAGGGCAGAAGGGATGCTCTTTGGTGTCCTTTCCTTGACATGTTGGTAATGCGTAGGGTTGCCAAGGGAAACAAAGAAGAGGGCTCCTGTGCTTTAAAAAGTTGTGCAGAGCAGGGAATTTCAGCTGGGGGTTGCTTATCACTTGCTGGATTTCTCTCTTTTATACAACCATTAAAGGCAGGGGTAGGCAACCTTTCCCCTTTAAGGGCCGAGGGACTTCAGCTCCCAGAATCCCAGGAACTATTGGCCAACATGGGACTATTGGCCAACATGGCTGAGGCTTCTGGGAGCTGAAGTCCCTCGGCCCTTAAAGGGGAAAGGTTGCCTACCCCTGATTAAAGGGAAAGGAACCCTCTCTTCATCTGGCAACCTTAGTAATGTGTAATATAGAAGAAGATGCGTCTTCCTTGGCTACTTCTGGAGTGCCAAAAATAGAAAAAATACTCTTGATTGCTCTTGATTCACCGAGGATCCATTCTGAACCCCCCCTCCACAAATATCACAAATATCTAAGTCCCACTGATTTCAATGGCGGCACACACCTGCGTGTGCTGGTGCACGCGTGCGCCAGGCGCACGCACCATTTTGTTGCTTCCTGCTTGGGATCCGCGAAGGACCAAGACTGCGGACTCCAAATCCATGAACAGGGAAGTACAAGTGTAGAACAAATACGGAAATGGTGAGAATCGTAGATGTGGAAGGGCAATCTAGTGCAGCCCCCTTTGGGATATATATAACAATATATAATAATGGGTGAATTTCCCACAAGGAAGATGCTTCATAATTTAAACAGGTTACAAGGGGAATCTTTCTTGTGAGAGCTTTCAAGAGAGGCAGTTCACTCATTTTGGGCCAGAAAAACAAAGGTCCACTAGCATCTAGGTAGGTCAAGACCTCATTCAACCAAACGTTATTTATAGTCAATAGACCCGTTGAGACATGCTATAACTTAAAACCATATAAAATAGAAAGGCTGTATATAACTCAAAACCATATAAAATAGAAAGGGTACATAAAGGATACAAGCAGTTTATATAAAATTAAATTATCAGATGGGTTACAATACTGGAGATTATTATTGATTATATAATTATAGATCTAGGGTATATTGCCATTAGTCAGACCCCTTTTTGATCATTTGTTCTCTCTAATTTTAATGGCTAAAGACAACATTTTTGCAACAGACAGGGTAATGTTAATGTTCATGCATTTATCTTACAACATCATTTTGATATAGAACATTTCAGAATGGCTGGT